GTGACATAATATTCACACAGCAAGCTGCCTTAATACAGCCTGCAGGTATTAAAGTGTCGAACAAGCTGATGTTGTGAGACTGAATCTAATCACTGTAACTTATATTGAACAACCAGCTATAATCTTGTGGTAATGTTAGTAAGTAATGTTCCATGAAGCCACAATAATGACATTAATGCTTCTGTTCCTCATCAAACTGACGGCTGTCTGTTCCTGTCGCAGCAACTTGTTGATTCTCTGTCAACCTTCATTCTCTCTCTGGAAGAGAACGCCTGCTTCCTGTTTTGTGTTGTGGAGCCATTCAGCAGATTTCTCTTCAAATTACAGTGAGGAGTCTTTTCAGCAGGGGTGTTGTTTGTTTACAGTGATTATGCTAATATGTCTGAATTAATGGGGTAGTGATTTATTGATTGTGATTAAATGCTGCATGTAGCACCCTTAATTACACCACAAAGAGCCCTTTACACCTGGAAAATCTTACACACTCAGACTGTGTCCAAAAAATAAACCATCTAGTTTGTGTGATTTGTGACTTTACACCTCTCTCCTCCAGCTCTCTGTGATCACCTGTTTTAATGCAGCCAGATTCATGATTCAGCTGTTCTCATTTACATATTTTCCAGTTTCCTTTGGCAGACACAAAGAACTAGTCCAAAATAAGTCATTTAATTGCAGCTAATGAACACTACATGTTAACCAGCAGCCATTCTCCAGCTGCGCTCATAAAATCATTATTTTATAATTGAATCCAGGTTAATGACAACAGCTCTGCTGTGTTTTTGGCTACACTGACATTAACCCTCACTGGGCAGCTAATATTATTGTTTTCCCTGCAATGTTTTAGGATTTATACAGTCCGGAGATGGTTTTGAAAGTTCTGTTTTTTGGGTGAGAAAAACAGAATAAATTCAAACTGCATAATGTGGACAAATTCCCAGACACAGACACCTTTACTAAATCTCCAACTCCTCAAACTCTACACGCGTCGGTGTGATACTGCGATAAAGCGAGCTGAGTGAGTAAGAATTATCTATCTATCTATCTATCTATCTATCTATCTATCTATCTATCTATCTATCTATCTATCTATCTATCTATCTATCTATCTATCTGTATCTATATATGTGACACTAAAGGCCTTTGTCTTTTCTGTCTGAAATTTCCATGAATTTACGTTTTGGAACAAGATCATTTTTTTGCATTTTTCTCATCACACGCTAACCTCCACTGCAACCTGGGGTCGTTGAGGGTGAATCATTTCATTGACTAGAAGGTACCACAATGAGAGAATGTGTAAGGATTACTCTCTGTTACATTCTGTTCATAGATTTCACACTCTTTAATCTACCTTAGAGACAGTTATGAAATGAGTAGATCTTAACAGTCTGGGATCCTTGGGTCTACATTTTATCAAATACCCGTCCGTGGCCTGATGTGCATCAATTTCCTTGAATACCAAAAAGGTTGAGAGCTGTTGTGGATCAGCATGTGTATTACACGGCGAGAGACTGGGCTCAGCTCAATTCAACTCGATTTATTCATGTGACATTTCATTTGTTTTGAAAGCACAAAATATGTAAACAATAGAAATAACAGACATGGTATTTTATATTATTGAGTGTAAACCGTTCACAGTACAAAACATCCAATAAAATTCATTTTGATGATGTTTTATGAGACTTAACCCACCGTGCCACCCGTCCTTTCAAAAGCAGTTACACACTTCATTACACACTCTGTATTCAAAAACACACACACTCCCCAGCAGTTAGTGCGTGTATCAGTGACAATAAAACCAAACATCTGCACTACACGCTTTATTAGACCACAAAGACAAACTCTATTAATCTCACACTGCTGGCATTCCTTTATAACGTGTCGGCATCCTCACCACTTATGCAACCATTGTCGAGGAGTCTGAACCATTTACAATGAAGCGCGTGAACGTGGAACAGATTTACACTTCACTGAACAAAGGACACACTGCCAGCTTCCTTATGGTCCATCCCCTCACACACACACACACACACACACACACACACACACACACACACAAACACACACACACACACACTCCTCAGTGACAAGTGTTAACATTTAATTCAACCACAATTGAACCAGCGACCTCCTACTGAGTCCATCTAATGACCCATGGACCCCCACTGCTGCAGGGACAGACACACACAGACACACACACACACACACACACACACACACACACACTAAGAGTACCACCTGAAGCTGACAGAACATGAACTCGAGGAACCTTGAACTAAAGCAGCACTCAGGAACTAAAAAGTAGATGGTGGGAGAGAAAACAGAGAGAGACAGAACGAAACAGAAGGGGTGTAGAGGAGGAGAAAGGAGGGAGAGAGAGAGAGAGAGAGAGAGAGAGAGAGAGAGAGAGGGAAGGGGCAGAGAGAGGGTGAGCGAGCAGCAGATCCTGAACCCGTCTTGTTGTGTTGATGTTTTCTCTGGCAGCTCGTCGGTTTGAGCTGCACTCACTGAGGGGGTTCATGAGAAACTGACGCTCATCTGGTTCTGAGAGCAAAACCTCCATCTGACAGGGGGAGGGACGAGGGACGGGGGGAGGAGGGAGGAGGAAGGAGAGGAGAGGAGAAGGGACTAGAAGAGGGGAGGCAAGTTACAGAAACAGTCGGATTTATGCTGTTTTTATATAACATGTATTTCAGATATTTCAGGACAAAGACTTCAGATAGGGAGAGGGAATCCCCAGCAGCAGCGCAGTGGGATAAAAGAAAGTCTTTTTCTCTTTTGTCTAGTAATTACATCCAAAGTCTGAAACAGAAACAGAAACAAAAGTGTCTGATGTTTCTGCAGCTGAATGTCAGTCCAAATGCTCCAACCAGGAAACCAGGATGTAGGGTCATATATCACTAACACACTGCCAGCTTTGGGTTGGAAATATGGTTGGGCCAGGGTGGGGGGAGAAATCTGATTACTGACCATTTGCTGGTAAACGTGGGCTTTAGAGTAATCAGGTTATTGCAGTGCATGTAAACTTGCTCTCTGATTTCCTGCCTTAAATCTGATTTGTGTTCAAACAGCCGAGACAAACTGGAATATCATGAAGGCTTGAAGAGAGGAGACGAAATATTAGAAAGAGAGGAGAAAAGACAAGAAGAGGAAAGAAAGGGAGAGAAGGCAGCTCTGTAATTAAAGGTTATATATGTGAGATTTTAACATTAATATAGCAGCAAACAATTGTTTGCTGTGTAAATATATAGTGGATTTATGTTGTCCTGACATCATGTTGTCACACTCCCTTTGCCTGTGTTGCTATCCTCTCTGTGTGTGTTTACCAATCGGGTCCAGATGTGTGCAGATGTATGTGAGTCCCTCTGTTTCCAAGTAGAGACGGAAACTGTTGTTTTTCTCATCGGCGTCGGTTGATTGAGGATTTATTGTGATCAAACCGGAGTTGGTGATTGTTGGAAGAGTGGAAATACTAACAAAGACGGTTTCTGTGAGTTTTATTTTGTTTCTGTGGACTTTACGAAGAAGTTACGATGTTACAACGTCATGTGAGTTAAAATGACTGTTTTTGTCTCTGGAGTTTGGTGGTGAGCGGTAACGACATTATGGCTTCTAAAGGTCTATCTCCACATTTCAGTAATATTGTCAGAAACTTTGACTAACAATCTCAGCCTGTCAGTGGCAACAAGAACAATTTTTAGTGGACGTACTTTGACGGGCGTGTTTGATTAGCTAATGTTGCCGCCATTGTAGTTTGTTTTTGTGAACATTTTCACAGCAAACTTGGTGAATTACGACTTTATTTCAACCGTTGTTGGAAAGACTAACAAAGACATTTTGGTGAGTTTTATTTTATTTCATTCATCCGTGTGTTTTCTGATTATCTGCCAGGTAAAATTACTGGTTTTGTCTTTGGAGTTTGGTGTGCCATAGCGCCCATTTGTTTTGGTCTGAGATGTTGCTGCTCTACTGCGACATCTAGTAGTAGTTAATTCTTTTATATATAACCTTTACGCAAAAGTATAGAAGTGAGCACAGAGAATAGACACAGTAATATAAAATCTCAATATATATTGTTACAGTTTACAGATGTTGCTGTTTTTGTGTGTACTGAAGTTGTTGTGTTGCAAAGTTTAAAACAGTGGAGTAGACTGAATGAATGAAAAAGCCGGCGACTCTGGAAGATGATGTAAAACTGAATCACAAGCCAAAGTTTCTACAAGCAGAATCATGTTTCCGCCGTTTTTTCTGACGTGAAACTTAAGATCTGCAACAACAGAACACGCAACGTGAAAAAAAAAAAACCCTGGTGTTACTCAGCAAAGACCGCGGGTCAGAACAGATGTGAGTGTAACACTGTAACAGATGGACTCCGAGCTACCAGACCAACAACATCCAGCCTCTCAGCCTGTCACCGGGGCCGGTAAACCTGGAGAACCAGCATCCCTGCCCTGCCTGTGCGTGTGTGTGCATGTGTGTGTGTGTGTGTGTGTGTGTGTGTGTGTGTGTAGTGACTTTTCATCCACTAAGCCAGGTGCTCACCTGTGTCTGAGAACTCAACTCAAACAGCATTTTCCCACACCTAACAGCTCCAACATACAAACAACATCAACAACCAGCTGTTTGTTTGCTCCCGAATGTCATGGCAACCGCTCCACACTACAAACTTTTTAGTTTCATTTCAAGCAGCTGTCGAGGTATTGCATCTAAATTAGAAAAAGTTTGATACTTTCTTTTTGAATGTTAACATCCACAGTGTTCTGTAGTCCTTTAAACAGACTGTATAGAAACATCTCCCACATGTTTTTCCAGTGGAACAACAAAAAGGAAGGATTCTGTAAATGTTCCAATAAAGCAAGCACACAGGTTCAGACACCTTTCCTACCCTAAAGGGACCTTAAACTAGAAACCAAACCTTCATTTTACATTCTCAATTTAAAGCTCTTAGAAACACCCATAGCACAACTCCAGATGATGAATCCCAGCTGTTATATTAAACCTACCTGACTGGATGAAGAACCGGTTATTCCCAACTGTCACTCTGAGTCCTCCACACCACAGTGCCTCAGCGGACGAGTCATATCCAACACTGCTTGTGAGCTCCCCTGCTCGCCTTTCTTTCTGTGTTACTGTGTGTGTGTGTGTGTGTGTGTGTGTGTGTGTGTGTGTGTGTGTGTGTGTGTGTGTGTGTGTGTGTGTGTGTGTGTGTGTGTGTGTGTGTGTGTGTGTCGGTGGGTTTGGCAGCTGTCTGTTCGGTCCTGATAGCATTCAGTCGTGCAGCAGCAGCTCCAGAGGGTTTCACAGAAACGTCAGAGGCTGGAAGCACAACAGTGAATAAAAGTTCCCTCCTGTTTTCTTCTCTCAGCTCTCCTCCTCACATCTCCTCCTTTCTCCTTCTCTGCCACACGCTGCCTCTCCTCTCCTCTCCTCTCTTCTCCTCTCTCCCTCTGCTTCTTCTCCACTCCCTCTTTTGTGTTTCTCTCCTCCTCTTTCAACACTTCCCACTCTGACAATCTGCTCTTTTCTGTTTGTCAGCTTCAATTAATGCACCTAAGGATCACCTCCTCCTTCCTCCCTGCTCCTGCTGATGTCTTTCTGGTCTTCTGTCTTAATTATTTAGCTCGTAACACTCCTTCTCCTGTCCGCTCTGCTTCTCCTCGTCTGTCTCCACTTTATGTCTTTCTTTCTCAACTCTTTTTTTTCTCACGTTCTGCCTTCGTCTCTCCCTCCCTCAGCGCCCTCAACACTTGTCATTCTCAATTTCTTATCTGTATCTCTAACTCTTTATGGCTCTCCTCCTTTACCCTCCTCTCCTCTTTTACTCCCACCCCTCTCTTCTCTTTCTTTTATTCTGTCCATTGCCTCTCTGTCATCTCTGATCTGTCATTTTCCTTCTTTCCTTCCATGTGACTCTTCTTTCTGTGCTCTCTCTTTTCCTCCGCTACATTAAATGTCTCTCTTTCTCTCTGCTCTCCCGTGGGGACACTTTCTGTTTCTCCCCCCTTCCTCTGTTTCCCAACAACTGTCCTCCAGTCTTCTCAAACTCCTCTTTCATCTTCACTTTCCACTCCTTCCCTTCCACTCTGCTTTCTTTCTCAATGTTCTTGCTTTTTCCTTTTCTTCTGCGTTTCAGAGTAAATGTAAATGTTTCAGAACTTCATTCTCTTACTTTCCTTCTCTCTTTTCTTCCCCTCCCCCCACCTCCGCTTGGCGAGTATCATGTTTGGCAGATTGGCTTCAAACTAAAGAACCTGGCTCCAGCACAGACCACATACATCACTAACACTGCTGCTTTATGTCCTGATTGATGGCCATGCCTTTGTGAAAATAAACACTGCATACTGAAAGTGGACTCATCACATCAGTATGTTACAATCTATATGGTTGGATGAGCTTCGTAGCCATGAGAGGATGTAAACCTCGAAATCAAGCGAATAAAAGAAAGAAACAGGAGCATTCAATATTTAAATATATGTGGGAAAAAGTAATCATTAGTTCAGTGGTATAATCCTGAACCAAACATACACATGTAAACAAACATTTAAAGGATCATTTCACCCTAATTTAAAGGTCCAATGTGTAGGATTTAGCGGCATTTAGCTGTGTAGTTGGAGATTGCAACTAATTGGCTTACCCCTCATTTAGTAGACCCTCTTAAATGTTACACACTGGACCTTTTAAGAACACTTGTAGTATCTGCCATGTAGGTAGTTTTTATTGGCTCGGGTCTTCAGTTGTCTCTCTGAAATTTCTGCCATCAACCCAAAACAATTTGGGTAAATATCAAAGAAGAACCGGCACTATCTGTTCGGTTTGTCTGTCCTGGACTGCTGTGTAAACATGGCGTTTCAAAGAAATGCTCGTTCTAAGGTAACAAAAACGCAACAATTCTTATTTTCAGGTGATTTCACACCTATTAAAAACATACCTATGAATGTTATATTCCATTTCTACTAATAGATCCTACTAAATGTTACACACTGGACCTTTAAAGATTACAGGAGACAACAACAGTTAACATACTGGACGGGCCTTCATGGTGTATGCGGTTCTAAATCAGTTTGTGTGAGCTCTGTTTACTGTCACGTTCTGTTTGTCGTTGTTTTGTTGTTTTTGACTGTTTTTCAGCCATTATCACGCCCACATCAGAGACTCACAGAGTCATCAGACAGAAATGCTTGTGAGTGCAAAGTATGCAGCGTTGTTAAAAGCAGCTCCGTCTAGAAGCTTTCCCATGATGCCCTGTGAAAAACCTCATAAGACTGTGCAGCCTGACTGAGTCCTTGAACTTGCAATTAGTCTCAGAGTTGTTGTGTCCCAATCAGCCTGTTGGGAGAAACTGTGATGTGGGGACGTTGACACCAGTTTTAAGGTTCATGTTGGACGGCTTAATGTAGTCGTCCTTTAACGAGCTGAGGTTGTCTTTAAGGTCCCTTTTGTTTGGTTTGTTTGGTAATTAGCAGGATAATAAACTCTGGTGCAAACTTAAAGGACAGGGGATCAAGTGATTAGCTTGTGGTGTGGATCCAGGAATGTTTTAGTTTGTCTGTGTCTACATATAAATATATATATGCTACACGGCCAAAAATATGTGGACACCCAAACAAAGTATGTAGGCAGTCAGTCAGCTACTACAACAGCATCCCCTCTTCTGATTTCAGGCTTTACATAAGATTTTGGAACCAGGCTGCAGGAAAACTACTGTATTTCTATATGCACATTCACTAAGAGTTATTGTCTAAAATATCATCGTATTCAACAAAGACGCCCGGTTTGAATGCAGATTTTCTGTTATTAAAATATCAAATTTAGAGGATCGTACAGCCCTTGTGGAGGTATTTGACCACAGCGTTTTCGAAAGTATGACTTTAAGTGGGAGCTGTTGTCTAATTTTATTCTAGTGTCTTTGTTGGAGCACCATCTGAAGGTACTGTTTTCATTATACTGCAGGTATATAGAGACAATTGATCTAACTGACAGTTAATATTGTCAGTCCTGTTTTCTTGTAACCCTTCTAACTATTAATGAATCTTTACATTAGCCCTCTTTCTAACCTGCTCGAACTGTTTATGGTAGCTCATCTTTTCCTATGTTTTCCTTTGTGTTTCAACCAAAAATTATTTCCACAGTATCACAGTTACTTCCAGTAAAAGCCTCAAAGACCAAAGATTGCTGTTTTCAACCCTTGTTGGTGTTCGTGTGTTTAGCTCACTGAGATTTAAACCTGATTGTTACACAGTGAACATTTGAACATTTCACATCAAGTTATTTGATCTGTGTTGAGGAATGTTTGCAATCAGATGCAGTTTTAAAGGAAAATTCCTTGTAGTTATTAAAACTTTTCATCAGTTATGATAACATTGTACTCTGGCTCCAACAGACTTATGTGATAATTAGGTTTGCTGTTCTTAGTTGAATTGTCTAACTTATTATTGTAAAACTATCAGTTCTTGGATGTCACAGTGTACATTCTTTGGAAAATAGTCGACACAATGACCATAAGTTTGATGAAAAATAAACAACTTTGATTGGGTTGAAATAAATATGTAAGGAAGTTTTGAAGTGTACTGACTGTAATACAACAGTCAAATGACCAGTAACCTTAAACCTTAACAATATTCTGCAGAAAACTGTCAGTTAATAATGTAAATATAAATGATTTATGATTAATCGGCTACAACCTGCGAAGCTACAATAATAATATGATACGAATGTTTCTCACATGATTCTGTGACAGGATGGATGTTTGTCCGTCAGCTGCCTGTGTTTGATATATATGTAGGATCTGATGCGATAGATGAGACACACACCTACAAACACACCCACACAAGGTTTAAAATACACAAATATTTCTGTAGAGATCTCTTAACACACACATATACAAATGCACACTCACACACACACACATATACAAATGCACATACCGCACACACCCACACACACCATCAGTTGGCTCTTAACGCTCAAATATACACTGATATTTACTTCAGCTGGCACATTCATCTCATAAGTACCACACGCACACACACACACAGACACACACACACACAGACACACACACACACAAACACACACACACACACACACACACACACACACACACACACACACACACACACACACACACACACACACACACTCACACAGACACATGGTAGGCAGAGATAAGGAGGAAGAGACGAGTGCATCCTGTGTATCTGGAGGCCGTTGCTGCTCCACTCCCTAATCACACACTCACTAACAGCTGACTGTGCAATGGTGTGTGTGCGCGCTGTTACTTCTATCTTTGCGAGGACCAATTTGAGTTTATTTGAGGATGTTCTTGTCGAGTCTTCACTTGTTCAGAGTGCCGTTGGAGGGTTTAGACTTAATCTTAGTCTTTTCCTTGGTGTCATGGTTTGGAAACCTCTCTGTAAAGAATCAGAAACTCCCTCAATCAATTTGTTAAATGGTCTTGTAGTAGTAGTGTTGGTGAGTCACAGCTTAACCCTGTACAGCAGACACTTACAGCGGATAACCAGAGCGACTTTAAATGTCGACTCTCTCCCTCCCCTTCTTGTTTTTATCTGAAGTTATTGTAGAGGTTGTTTATCTTTGTGTTGTTTTTATTGATCTCTCTTTGTAAGTCCTGATCTTCAGAGCCCGGAGCACTTTTACCTTTATCTTTATCATTTATCATGTTTGTATTATGTTTGTCTACTCTCTGAATTGTTTGTTGTTTCCAGAGGAATGCCTTCTCTTTTACTGCAAACCAAATCTACCATTGGCTACAAACCTTAAACCTTTCAACTTCTAATAAAGTGTAATTCAGTAAGTAATTCATCTAAATAAACTATAATATTGTTAAATGAAGGTCAAACATGTTATATAAAGATTATATATAGTGTATAGTGTACGAGTCAAATGTTTTTATAGTCCATATACAGTAAATGAATAGAACATTACAGATTAGAGAAAATAGTTACACATGATGTGTCAGTTATGCAACTAAAGACTAAGAGCTTGAACATGAAGGATGTTTTGGTTCTGAAATACATCAAAGCTCAATCAAAGAACAATACATTTAAAATTGGTCTTCAGCCTCGTTTATGTGTGAGAGATTCGATTTTTGTGAACTCTGTAGTGTTTTTTTTTACTGAGTGTTTAGACTCTTTGTTGAACTGAACTGTGCTGAACTGAGAAGACCTGCACAGAGAGAGGTCCTGTACTACTGTAGCATGATGCCCTCTGCTGTTTATGTGCTGCTACTAAGTGAAGAATGTTTCGCCCCCCCAAAGGTTTCCATGTCACAGACCTCAGGTTGAACATCTCGCACACAGCTTTTTATACAGGCATCACTGTACTTAATCATTCTACTAATGTCTAAACTGTGAAATAGATTTTTTTAAAAAGATGATATAAATAAAAGAACACACATTTCTATTCTTAAAATGTGCTGTGTGTGTGTGTTTATCTTATTTTATTTGGGCAGAGACATGCTTTTGGTTTTTTTTTTAAATATAATTTTTCAAGTCTTTCAAGCTCCATCAAACTACAGCCAAACCTCAGTAAATCCCATTGACTACATCCCACTCTGGATGAGAGTGAAGCACATTTTATGTTTTGAACTGTCCCTGTGAACCGAGGTGAAATCAGTTCCTGATCTCAGCTCTTGGCAGGTCGGCGTTCAGGAGAAAGCAGTTGTTCCTTAATCTCATTTTGCTGCGACTGTTGCAAATATGTTACTGTGTCCTCCACAGCCGTGCCAGGGCGAGATGCCCAACACTCAG